AAAGTTATGGCTTTAACATCTTCTGAACTCCAAAACCATATGGCTATGACCAGTTGCTATTTCTTGGATTTCAAAAACTCGAAATTCATACTGCCTCCATGTCTTTTACCAGTTTCCCATTTCAGTCAATGGCATGCCATTACATAAGCTCTAAATCATCTTACCTTGTCATATCCAAACTTAGTCACTAAATGCTGTCAACTTTGCCTTTCACTAATTTCTCTACGAGTATTGCTCCCCTACGTCCCTGTAATTGAAGGCTTTTAATAGTTTCGTCAGTTTATCTCACTTATTCTTTCCCTCCTTTAATCTGCAATCAAGACATCTGAAATGCTATTCTAACTGTGGCACTTAAATGATTCCTTATCATACTTGGGACAATATTTAATGTGACTTACAAAAACCCTGGAAGGTCCTATCCCTATCCCTTGCCTTCTCTTGAGCCCCACACAGAAGCTATGACCATTACTCCCTATTTCAGCTGAACTGGCACTCTTCTAATTCCTAATATGCTCCCTTCCTGCCAAAAGGCCTTCTGTTCAAACTTTTGACCCTAGAAGATCCTTTTCTTCACTATTTACCAAACTGTGTTATTTCTTCTTTAGGTCTCAGTATACATTATGGAAATAAAACCATTTTCTGAATATAGCTTTTTGTAAGGTAAAGAATGTATACATCCTTCACCTGGCACTGACAATGGCAGCTGATCGGAACTGACGTAAAACCCAGAAACTTGTTAGTAAAATATAAAAGGGAAACCATTTCTAATACTATTTGTTTCATTGTAATTAGTGTTGAGGAAATAAAACTAGGAGGTTGAAAAAAAAAATTGCCTCTAATTCCATTATTTAAAACCCCCCACCCTGGGTGGGTAGCTCAGCTAGTTAGAGCATTGTCCCTATACACCAAGGTTGTGGATTCATTCTGGTCAGGGCATATAGGAGTCAACCAATGGATGCATGGATGGGTGGAACAACAAATTGATGTTACTCTTTCCCCTCTAAAACCAATAAAGGGAAAAAACAATGTTTTTCTAAAAAACGAAAAAACAACTCCTTTCTCTAAAGTAGGCCTCAACAGATTCAAAGCTGTGTGTGGTACTTTGGTTTAAAAAATGTATCTATTAATCTTTTCACTCAATAAAATACTTTCTGAAAGTCTTAATTCAAATGCAAGTGAGGATCACTGAATGGAATTTTCTTTAAATTATATACATGTAACAAAATTATTAGGTAAACTATCAAAACCTGAACCACAATTTTAATTGGGATATGGAAAAGGATCTCTATAACTTATTTCTCATAGTCATTTTAACTGTTTAGAATTGTTACCTTCAACATACTTTGGAAGCATACCGGTGAGAAATCTGGGGCCTGATATAATACCAAACACAAGAAACCTTACTGAAATCACAATCTGTTACCATTTTAAGTAAATTTATATAATATGGTTATTTTAAAATTTTTATTCTTGTAAGGTTTTTAATACTTTTTAATCTTTACTGTATTTTTTTCAATTACCACAATTTGTTACTATTTTAAAACTACTGGTGAAATTTTTTTGCTGTGCTCTACAAACATTTTTATTGATTCAAGTCTAGTAACGTTAATAATCCCTTGAAACCAGACAAATGTTTTCTGAACTTTAAATTTAATAATAAAAGAGCCTAAAAATTTCTCAGGCTTCTAAATCTTAATTTTAGCCAGATACCATTTGTTTTAAGGACCATCAAATGCCAATACAGGACAAAATTACTGCCATACCAGAGGCAGACTTAAAATAGAAAACAGTCCAATTTTTGTTATACTGAATATGGCCAAATAGATATACGAGGTCTGTCAGGAATATGCCCAGCCATTGTTGATATAAACAGTCTGTGTGACATTGATGTAACCTGGCAGCCAGTGAGAGTGGACTGGAATGTGCATGTGCGAACAATGACAACTTCACTGTACTGGGGGCAATGGGGCCGGTGGATGTCTTTTGAGTGAGCATGTGTACTGTGTGGCCACCACATTCAAAATGACTGGGTGAGTAGAGCAACAAATCTTCATCAAATTTTGCATTAGTCCTGAACATTCCTCCAAGGCAACTATTCAGATGATTCAGAAGGTCACAGCTATGGGACTAGTGTTTGGCAGCTTCATCATGAAAATGTGCCTGCTCATACATCAGGTCTTGTGTGGGGTTTTTCGGCAAAACATCAAATCACCCTGGTGACTCAGCACCCCTACAGACCAGATTTGGCACCCTGCGACTTCTGGCCTCTCCCAAAACTAAAATCATCTTTGAAAGGGAAGAGATTTCAGACCATTGATGACATTCAGGAAAATACAACAGGTGACAGCTGATGGCAATTGGGAGAACAGTGTGAGGTCCCAAGGTGCCTACTTTGAAGGGGACTGAGGCGCCATTGTCCTATGTACAATGTTTCTTGTATCTACTTTAGTAAATACCTGTATTTTCTATACTACATGGCTGGATACCTTCTGGACAGGCCTCGTACAATATTTAAGCCATATACAATGGTTAATGAATTGTAAATCAAACAAAAAGGACAAACTGCAAAGTATTATCAAAACTGGTTTTATTTTCAATACAAGATAAATACCATGCTTGTTACTAGTGCAGTTTAAGGCCAACAATGGCCATATAGCAAACTGCTGAACAATCACCTAAATGCTAAAGAAAGAAAAGACAGAAAGTAAACATTAAACACAAAATTGCAATTACAAACATTTTAATAAAATGGAATGAGCTTTCTAATAGAAGCAAATATGGAAGTCTAGTTCTCATGGACACCAAAAATATGTACTTTTGATCGAGTATCACCTTACCTTTTGCACAGAAATCTTATTGTGTGAAGTCACCAGAGTCAATAGCTAAAATTTCAAGACTTTCTTTGGCCTTCTAGTATTAGACAAATTATTTACAAACCGTGATTCAGTAATTTATGGATACTGGAATATGATACAATTTTTTTGTTAAGGGCATTCTGTTAAAAATTATAAAACAACTTTGTAAGGCTGCACAAGGCTGTAAACTACTTTGCTAAAATACCACTGGATGAAGAGGAAGAAGGAATAATAGACCTTTTATTAAGGCTAAAGTCGTCAATGTTATAGATGCATTCCTTAGAATACACTATGATTTACCCCAAAGGATCCTTTCCCATTAAAATACCACCTGAGTACTTCAATTTTCAACGTAAAAAAATAAACATGAATTCACCATTGTATTTTAAAATAACTTACAAAATGCTGAGAAGTGTTACGCAGTAACAATGCGACAAGAAAAAAACCATCTTCAAAATGAAATGTTTTTTTCTGAATGCAGGGTCTGTCCAAATATGAAATTAATGTAAAACATTTACACCCATACTTTCATATGGAATGGAAAATTCTTTGCAATATTTACTCTCCGCAGACACCATTTTAAGATTTGTGTGACTTCAATTAAATTCTACTTAATATTTTAAAAGACTCCCATTACAATGTTAATATAGCAGGAAGTCTTTGAAACATTAAAATCTATCTGTACCTAACTAAATGTTTATACGTCCCATACAAAAACCATAGTAGCTGCATACTCAGTGTGAATGCCACCTGAAATTTTAAAGAAACATTGGTTAAGACAAACCTAAATCAATCTGAACAGGATACAATTGCCTGAATATTTTGAATATTCAGAAAAATTCATGTTGCTTCTTTCTAATGCCAAGAAAGAAGAGTATAAGAACTTCCTCTCAGAAGCCTAGACGTTTTAGCAAGTTTTCTATTTCAACTTACAATGAAACTTTAATCCTACATCTTCTGATCTCTCTAAATCAAAAATCTCACATTACTAATGCAAGGAATGCTATATGTAAGGCCACATCTTAATAAATTCATAATTTTTGGTTGAATATTTAAAAATTAGTCTAAGGCTTCTAAGAGTCAAGTTGCTAAAAAAAAAAAAAATACACCAGTGTTTAAACTGAAGATTAATGTAAAAACAAAACAAACACACACACACACTTTAAGAACAGAAAAATAGGATGCTTTGCTACAAAAATCCCACTTAATATATTTTAGCACAAAAAATGTCCGATATGTACAATGGGTAAGCGTGCATTTAAGTACATACAACTGTGGGAAACATTTACAAATGGCTATGGGATGCAAATGAACTTAATGGATTAAAATTTAAAAGGCAGATAGTATCTGTAAAACACCAAGAATTTCAATACTGTATTATCAGTAAAGAATCGGAACATAAACATTCTCTTAAAATAACAAGCTAAACCTTAAAACACAAAATTGGAGCCATCTTATGATATACAGAAAACGCAATGATCATCCAGGTTAATAAAAACCAAAATGTTGAGAGCACTCCAACAGGAAGTTTGTAGTAGAATCTCATTGTATAAAACAGGATGTGTTTAGTTATTGGCACATTTAAATAGTAAGGGAAAGTTTACCCTTCCAACAATCTCCCCCTTTCACTATAAAATGTTATACAACATTCATTAAAACCTCCATGTTTAGGAACTGACCTTAAAAAAACTAGTAAAAAACCAAAACAATGTTCTCCACGGGAGAATTAAATAAAAATAATACCTTAAGCTATAAGCTATTTGTGAACTGGAAATTGTAGTTTACTGCTTAAGAATAATATTCTAGGTAAAGGGAACATTAAATGGACTATAACCACTAGCCACCGCAACTTAGGCCAGATTTTGCTTATGAAAACTGACAAACACTTCCAAATTTACACTGGAATATCCTTCCCATAACATATGTCCTGTAACTAAAAGCAGCACATTTAAATTCAAAGTGTTGCTTCAAGAAGCAATACCATTCAGGTGCTGTATCATTCACACATAACTTTACTAGCTGAAAGGAATGTGACTGCATAGCACTAATAAGTGCTATGTTTTAAAATTAACTTCAAGTCTGTTTTCATATTCACTACAATTATGACTAAGAAGAAAGTGAAAGGTCTCTGGGACCCTCTTTTTTTTTTTTTTGGTGTGTGGGTAAATAAAGATTTATCTCTTTGGATTGTTTTTATACATTAAAAGAAAATGTTTTTTTCAAAATCACATCAGCCCACAGACAACAGAAGGGATATAAATAAAACAAGCCTTGCAATTTTCATCTTTACATCTATACATTCATGTGTTATCAGGTAGAGAAAGACGGCAAAAATTAATTGGTCAAACCAAAAAGTTATTTCCTTCCGACGATACTTAAAAATAATGAACTAGCAGCAAGCAATTCTAGTACACTCACACAGTCTGCAACAAGCCACATAATGAAATCAGCCATGTAGGGAGAGGAGTGACATAGAATGAGCAATTAAAGGGTTCCACTGATAAAAAGTGAAAAAGTAAATAAAGAATTTAATTAGCATAAAATTTCCAGTTTCATTTCAAGTTCAAATGCAGTTAGAATTTTATGATTCCATTTAAAAATTGTTCAGAGAAATTTTTATTATCATGGATATTTACTTACCTTTTAAGCTTACTACTACCTAATTTCCCCTGTAATATATTTATGTCCATACTTTGCATTAGGACATAATAATGAAAATATTAAAAACTAGGAAAATAATAAAAAACTAAAAAAAGCACCTATACACAAAACAAGGAAATTGATTTTGATACAACTCTCAGATCTTAAAAAGGCAAGTGCATTTCAACAAGATAAACGACTTTAAATATTTGAGAGCAAACAGTTCTGATAAACACCAATGATCCCATGCATTACTCTCACAAAATATTTTAAAATAAAACTGACAATATCATGAATAATTTGAAACAGCTAATTTTGTAAGAACTCGTGTGATAGCGCACAAGATGAAAGTGAAGAACTGCAGTACAGTTCTCTAGAGGGCTCCTATTGTTGCACATGACATAGTATCTAGGGTGCCTAAAAATACTTTAAGCATTGTCCTAAAGTTTGGCAATACTTTAAAAAAAAAAACCCAATGTGTATTATCAGAAGATTTCTCAAAGATAATCAGATCTTAAAAACATTAAAATCAAATTATAATCTGCATAAGGTTTTTAACTCAAATCTCTGTAGTGATTCAGAATAATCTTTCTATAAAATGTCTAATCAAAGTGACACTGCCTATGCTGATTTTGCAATTTAAGAACATATGCTAGGCAAGTGCTTCTACTGGAGGCCTGTATGCAAGGCAGGTTTGAAAAAAATCTTTGATTAACTAAACAACTCTAGCACGAACCAATAAGGTTGCATGAAAATACACAGAATTCCTTAAACTGTGGAGATAGGATATACCTATAAGCTCCCATTACACACACAGGAGACTACAACCTGATGTTAATTAAACATCACACCCTTCAGAAATCTATATAGTAACCAGAAAATAAAACTAAGGCTTTCTTTACTCAAATCTGTCTGCTGTGTGACTGTATTTACACTGCCCACGGCTTCAAAAATTTACCACGAGCACTATGAATATAAAACCGCAAATAACTGCCGCATCAAATCAGAACTGTCAAAATATTTCTCAATGCCAGCAGTTTACAATTAAGCATTTCAGTACATCTGTGCTGTAACTAAGCTGCAGTACTGTAGCAAATAACGTATAAGTCTTTACTAAAGTGTTAAAATCACAAAATCATTTTGACCCCTAACACACTGCCTGAATTGCTATGTCTGTGAAATTTCATTTTTACAGGTTTACATACCATTCAGCAAAAATCACAAGCTAACTAGGTAAAAACAGCTAGAAAAGCAGAATATAGAAATATTAAATATCCATGTAATCACCTATCCTAATATCAAAATCAAGGGCAACAGACACTTAATTAGTATGTTTAATTCACTGAACGCAAGATTAGATTGATGCATATCCAAAAATGCTATTGCAATGCTTTTTTAAAGGACAGTATAAATGTCATAATAACATTATCTTTAGATATTGCTGAACACAAGACTTTCCCTGAGGTGTAAACATCAAATAACTTGAACAGCTTTACACATCAGCCCCATTAAACAGTTTATTACAACACTACATCTATTGTAATCAAAGTGGTGCTGTTTACAGACATTATCATATGAACATTTTTAACAAGAACATACTACTATAAAAACAAGCATTTACTTGACATTTTCCAATTGCTTGCACATTATAATGGCCAAAAAGTATATAACCAGTAATAAAGTTGCAAAAGCTATAACTTTTTAAATCACACAGGTTTTCTTCAAATAAAAACAGTTAAGCAACATAAAAAATAAAAGTAGAGCTACTGGTTACCATTTATGCAGATTTGCTTTATTCAGATCTATTCCTGTTCATTTTATCCATGAATCCTTACAGGTTCAGTTCAATCACAAGAAGCAAACTGCTGGACAAGCGTCATGTTTCCCTCATGAAGACTGTTTGTGTCTTGGAAGGTGTTCCTCTTCCTTCAGCTGTAATGTGTCAAAATTTGTGATGTAGATTTTGCTATTCCCCATAATACACAGAAAAACGCTGGCTTAACTATACATACACAAGTCGTGCATCTACTTCACTGTTACGTATTCTAACACAAAATAAGAATAACTGAAACAGTAGCTGCCTTTGTGGTGGAGAAATGCTCCCAATTTATATAATAATTAGACATTCTGATTTCATTTTTCTTGGATATTATTGTTTTATAAATTTAATGACTGAAACAGAAGTGAAAATATAACAGCTACTGTTTCTGTGATGAAAACATTTATAAGTCATTTTCTAAAGTATGCATACTACAAAAATAAATGAAAGATGCTTGAACGATTTAATGTGATTATTTTTCATTCAGCCACATACCAATTCTATAGAACACATTAACAATTAAATGTGAACTGAATATAAATGCAATAAATTAGTTTACAAATTAGTTGTATTTGACAGCATACAGGAACTTCTGAAATGTTATCAATCAAAAGGTCCTCCATGTTACAATACTTATAAATAAAATTTATAAATATATAGCTTAGTATGCACATTTAAATAAATATAACATCCACATACAAATCTTTAGACATAATACAAATTTAAAACATTTACTTTCACTCTATTCCACCTATATTTAAATACCTAATGTAGTATATAAACTAACCAAAACAAGCTAATTAGAAATCTACAATGATAAATTTTACTGAAAACTCACAAAGAAAAAATAACCAATTAATCTGATAAACTAAAATTTTAAGAATACATAAATATGCAAACTTCAAGTAGGGATTCACAAAAGACATTCAATTAACTGGGATATAAGCGATCAGTGAAACATCAGTGAATTTAAAATATAAATTCGAAGAGAGCATTTCAATAAGATGATATAGTAAGAGGCAAAAGAGCACAGTTTTGAGTGATATTTTGCCATAAAATTAAGAAATATTCTTGCTCTACAATTAAGAGTAATTAATACTGTTAAAACTATAATTTCATCATTTATGTCCTTTCCACTAGCTTTAAGAATTTTAAGAGCATCAGTACACACACATGTAATGTTCACACTGCCTAGCGGTAAAACCTAAACTGCAACTGCAAAAAGAAAAAACAGTGCTAATATCCTGGACTTCTTCTTTTAAGTGATTTCTATTTGCCCACGTTCTTCAAAAAGATACTTAAGCCATTTCTAATGTCACCTGTTACTGTACCCTTATCTCATTGTTGATGAACCTTTTGGTGGAATTATTTTATGAAGAAAAAATCTAGAAAGGCTGCTTTTATGTTTTATTTTTATTTGCAATGCACTTTGAAAACTACTATCACAGTATTAAAGAGACAAGGAATATGAAAAAATGGATTACTGAAAAAGTCACAAATCTAACTGAAAAAAAAAATGTTATCTCCCTGGCGTGTTACTTATTTTTATTTTTGTTATGCTTGGAGGGATAAGTCATTAAAAGAGAAAATTAATTTAATGTCACAGTGAGCAAAACAAAAATACCCAACCCTCCCAAAAAACATATGGTATACATTGCAATGTTATATCATTCATCACTCCAATGGAGAATTTTACTACTTTTAATGTAGAAAATCCTGTTCATGAAATTACAACACATTGTTATCCAGGACGAATGAACTCATCTTTTGCATGATTTATACTTTTAGAGTAAGATCTTCACTATTAATAAGTCTCTCATTTTCACCATACAGACATAAAATCTGGGGAATACTCTGACAGTTTTTATTTCTATTTCTAAACACTTCACAGTTATCCATTTTGGAAATACAAAATTTACAATCTCAAACGGAAGCAAATTTGAAGGCAATACAACCCATTTCCAATAATCCAATTCCATATTATTATAGTCTTAAATTTCTAAGTAGACATCTACATAAACAAAGATATCAAAAAGAAGCTTAAAAGCGACAAATACATCCAATGCTCTTGTTTTCAGAATACCATTTGGTCAAATCTCTTCATGTCAAAGCCACACAATTACTTGCTTTAGCTATCAGTTATAAAAGGGAGATCTATGTTAACAGTTGTTAAGCAACTAAGTCAACAAATGGAACCTGAACCTCCTCAATGAAGTCTGTAAAGTGAGCACTAAATAAGATTTCAATACAGAGAGGCACCTGCATTTTCAGATAAACATGAGATTAAGTCAATACTAACAAATCAAATTGTAAGTTTTCTGTCAGAAACTATCTAACCAAATTTGTTAGCATCAGTATCTTAAACTCATGGCAAACCCAACCTTTAAGTAAAGATTCAAATGTATATTTGACATGGCTCTTCTGTAAGTTTTCACATTAATAACTGAATTTAATAACTGTAATACTTTAGAGATGTGCTTGTATTAACTCAGTAAAATAAAATTCACTTTTATCTCAAAATTTCTCCTTAATGAGAGGAATGGAGATGGGCTTAAGCAAAAGAAATAGAAGTATCTTAAGTTAAATCTTTTTGAAAATCAAAAGTCCCTCCTGCATTGACAGGAATATATCACACAAAATTCTGTTTACTGTATATGTTTACAAAAAATTCCCTTAGTACCCAAACATTTTGTATTTTCATCTTTCAACCTTTAAATATAGTACTTACCTCATTTTAACTAACCCTTTTATTACACTATAAAATCTTTACATGATTATTGTTATAGGCAGTTCACTAAAGAGTAGGAAGGAATAAACTTCACGACAAACAAAACTCAGCTTTGCCCTTAAAATTTCACAAAATGGACATTTCAAATGTTTATGTGATTTAAAATTCACTGCGAGAGTTAAAATACGCTACTGCAGATAGCAAATGAGTAAATTTGGATAGTGCGGCAAACTTAGCACTTGTTGGTTATCAGATTTTTGTTAAACAATGCTAACTAGTCATTCAAAACATTATTCATTCAAAACAACCTAATTTACAAATTAAAACAATGGTAATAAATTTCATACTAAGATGATGGTGAGAGAGCAATGTGACTCACATTGGCACTGATTTGTTTTTTTAAGAGGGAACATTAATTATTTGTAAACAACCATATTCTTAAACCACAGTGAGCAAAGGCACACTATACAGTCATTCAAGGGATCACTTCCTACCCTCTGATACTTAACAATTAAGATAGCTGTGTAGTCAGACAGGTTTTGCAAGTTAATACTACAAGCAAGAAAAATTAGAGCAAAAGAAATGAAAGCTAGCATATCCTAATGAAGCAGTTAGGATATATGGGAAAACACAAAGAAAACACAGGGCTGGACAATATTAAGGCAGATCTCAGATAACCTAAGAGTTGCAGATATAATTTTTAAATCTCATTACGACCAGTATCCTTCATCAGATGATTAAGAGAATTTAATTCTCACATAAGCCTCACAGTAACATTAATTCTTAAGAAGATGAAACATCTTAGTATATAGAAAAGTTTTGTTTCTTTTGGCTTTTCCTAAATTAATGAAAAGCTGTAAAAACTGAGTAAGGAATGCAAAGTGCCCTAAATCTTGTTCAATACCAACCTCTAATATCATAGTATTTACGGCAGAAGTAACCATTAAACAAAAAGTATAATTATTTAATCCGTATTCGATACATGATGCTTAAATGTTTTAGCAAAGAAGTGGATAATGATTTGAGAATATATAAAACCTCATTTATCAGGGAGAGATGAATATTTTTAAAAATAATTTGGTTTCAATACTCTTTAGTACAAAAGAGAAACTCAATCGTTAACAGAAATTTACTGAGGAGGGTTGTTCCAAACAAGTAGTAAGTAGAATGCAACCTAAAACAATTCAACTATGAATGTAAAATTATTCCTGTAAGAAGTATACAATCTTAAAACACTGAAATACTTTTGTTTTGCTCAGAGTGGTCTGAGAATAGAGGCAGAAATTACAGAATTTGAAGCACAATGTATTTACATACCAAAAATTTACAATACTGATAGTCCCATTAAAATAATATGTTTGAAATTAGATATTGTATGCCTTTAGAAAAACTAATACATTTTTAAAATGAGAATGCAATTAACATTACCAACAGTTCAAACACAAAAAAATTAAGATGGAACAGACATTAACAGCTTGCCAATATCATTATGTTTCCAGTTAAATTAAGAACTTGCCCTTTTAGCCATTCATCATCACTTTAATAATAGATTACATTATTGTTTTATATGTATACAGACTTACTGACATTCACCTTAGCTTCCAAGTTACTCTTACTCCATTTAGTCAATTTAAGATTTACATGAAAGCTCAAAAGGACTCATATTTAAAAGGTCAACAGACCTTATTATTATGGTTATTAAATGTGCAGAAAGTTAATTAATATTTAATCCCAGTCCCCATCCGTTTATTCATGTCTACATACGCAATAAGTAAGGTTGGTATAGCAAAAGTATAATATCCCAGAATAACAGAATTTTGTGCACTGGAAATGCTCATGTAAAATTTTGCTTGGATGAAGGCACGTAACAATATTACAACTCAGTTTTGATTAATGTACAAACAAAACATGGAAATTTTGGTATGGTACACATCAGTGATTAATAAAAAATGTCAACAAAGAGTTTGCAAGTTAAGAATTCATTGTTAATGTCTGAATCTAACAAAACTCAAGCCATGATCTAGTTAGGTGTACCCATTACTGGAATGTAATGTTAGTTAATTCAAAGACTATGCTAGTTTAAATAGAACCAGTAAAAAAACAAAAAACAAAAAAACACCTCATTAATTAATTTTGGGTACAAACTGGTTCAGAAGCCCCTGATGAAGACATACAATCTTAAGAGTTGACTGAAAACATATGCAAGTTTCATTAACATGCCTTCAGTAAATGGAATCTTGCTGATAACTGACAAAGTCTAAATAAAAATATAACTTGGAGGATCTGTACCTTACTATATAAATGAAATGGCTGACATAGTTAAGCATTCAAGTAAAGTTGGCCACAATTCGCCTTAAGCAACTGATGGACACTGAGAATTTTTTCATAAGTTAAAATCAGATCTTTTCAACGCAAGGGGAAAAAAACCCTGTATGTTTAAAATTTAATATTTGAATTTACATGAAATAACATTCAATTCTTACTCATATCCAAACACAGCATCGATTTCAATCAGCTTAATTTTAAAAGTGAAAGGTGTTTCGCATCATATTAAAAAAGGTTTTGAGAATTATTTATATTAAGTTCTATAATACAATACATGGAGGACTATTTTAAAGTTAAAATTTTGATACTCAATGCATATTTGAATGCAAGAAACAGTTTTAAAACTGGCCTTTTCACTTCAAAGACCCTTAATACTGGAAATAATTAATGAAATAGTTTATTGTGTACCATAAAAATAAAGACTTACATACTTTCTAAACTGTATTATTCAAAATTACCATTTGCTCAAATATATCTACTATAAAGAAACTGCTATCCTACCACAAAATTATACATTTGATAGTCTTTGATTTTGTCCATAACAATTTAAATACTAACAATCACCATCACTTAATTTCCAGTGCTTCCCATGATTAAGGAAAATAACTGTGTGAAGAGTAGTATAACCTACAAGGGGTTTGTTTTAGCTTAATTTGAATATGCCACCAACATATAAAGAAAAAATATTTGTTTACAGAATAATTGTGTAACATGCACAAGTCTTTGTAGTGCCCTCCTCCCACTTTTCACATGAATAAATGCTGTTCACAAATATAAAAATAAAATTACACGTGAAAATGAAGTAGAAACAGACAACTCTTCCCGTTTTATGAAAAATGTACACGTTTTAAAATACAGAAAAAAAGACAATGATTATGGTTTATGAATGAGACATCAAAGGAAATCATTTCACGGTTATTCTAACCTGGGACATATAATTTGATACAATTTAAAATTCATAAAGTACCCTGAACCCATTTAAATTAATGTTTCATATCTTCTTTGCAAATTAAAGAATACTGTTTTTATTTCTTTTAAAAACAAAAACCAGATAGTAGGAAAAACGTATTTACTAAATGATGTTTTTTTTTAAAGTAGAAATGCTCTTTCAAAGTTGAGAAACCATCCTGCACTTTTACAAGTTTTAGGGATAAATTAAGTTAGTTCCAGAAGAGAAACTTGAAATTTATTTTTTAAAAGTCCAAGCACATTATGTATATGAAATAACTTTTTTTTTATTTTAAATCACATGCCTACTCTGTGATTAAGAGAATTCTAATTTTTAGGTTTCAGAAGTAGACAATGAGTCCTCTTGATTATTTCCTGCATTCTTAAGACTCTTAACAATCTGAAAGCTAAAAGTTTTAACTCAACAATACAATATTCAAAGAGGTCAAATTCTTTTTACCTGTTCTTACTTACCTGTCATTTGTCTCAGATGCTTCCAGAAGATTAAATTCAGAACAAGTAGTTGGATCATTTAAAATGTAGGTATATACTGTATAAACAACAGCCTCGGAGTTATAATTACTGTTAATAATGGATATATTAAATACAGCAGAAACAAGGAATACTCACCTTCTAACGATGACGATACTCGCGCTCTCGGTCACGCTCTCGGTCTCGGTCTCGGTCCCGGTCCCGGTGTCTCTCTCGTTCTCTACTTCTCTCTCTATAATAATCATCATGACGATCTCTACTGCGAGATTTATGACGCCGACTCTTTTCTCGTGATCTACTATGGTCCCTCTCTCTCGATCGTTCACGTCTTCTAAAAGAAATTACTGGATTAATGCTCTCCATAATTGTGCAGCTTAAAAAGATACTCAGTATTTTGGTGTTTAACACCAAAAATACCAAAGGCAAAAAAATTCTTTTTAAGTCTTTATAGTTTAGACTTATGACATCCTGAACTGTCAATGATTTATCAACTCACCTAAAAGTATGAAGCAGAAATTCCATTTTAAAAAATATTCACCCAAAAACTGGGAACCTGTCACACCAGGGCAATACATCTGTTATATCTATTATAACTGGTAGTGTAAAACAGAAAGGTAGTATTAACTGAATGAAAACCAGAAAGGTAAAGAATAAAATTTCAAAGAACTTCTGTATCAAGCTAAAGAACATAGAGAAGGCAGTTTTATAAATTCATGATATCACTCAATATACAATGGAACTTAAATACATAAAAACCATCACCTATTAACATAGGTTACCTAAACCTATATATAAATATCAATTTTACATTTATAACTAACCAAAACATGCTACTCCTCTAAGAAACTTTCTACAAATATAGACACGTTTGCTTGGAGGGCTAGAAGTGTGGAAGGAAGCAGAGAAAACCTAGTAGTTAAGATCACTAGTAAAGAGTGGGATACTATTCACACTGTTACTTAATAAAGACAAATGTTTCATGAACCACTTAAAAAAACACAGGTAATTTAACAAAGTACGTTGCCTAAAATACTTTTAGAAAATATTCTGAATTTGAAATTCATAATAAGTAACAATTTCCTATTAGTTTAAATTTCTACTTTGTATTTTTGCACCAGACAACTACACTTAGCAAACATTTATTAGGTTCTTACTTTGGACTTAAACAGTTTAAAAGACTGTAAGATATGGTTTTTGCTATGACTAATACGTTCAGATAAAAATCCTTACAGTGGGTCAAAAGGTAATTATAAAGTTGGGGATCATAACAATGGCAATCTCCTTTTCCTTAATTTTATGAAGAAGACTCTACCACCAGATAAAGTACACAAAAGACAGATATGAGAGTATCATGTGAAGATTAAAGGTCTAACTTTCAAAAATACGTAAAATATCAAGGATAGCAGTAATGCTAGAAAATGGAATTTACCTAATTAAAAAACTAATAAATCATTCATTCATAAATTCCCTTGTTCAAGAAATGTTTATTTAGCATCCATTCTGTATAGTCATTAGAAGCACTGCAGTGACAGCCACTATGGAAAACAAGCATGGAGGTTCCCCCCATAATTAAGAATAAAGCTACCATATGACCCAGGAATCCCTTTTCTGGGTATCTACCAAAAAAATTAGAAAACACTGATTCATAAAGATATATGTACCCCTAGGTTCACTGCAGAATTACGCATGGTAGCCAAAACATGGAAATAACCGAAGTGTCTGTTGATGGATGACTAGATAAAGATGTGGTTCATATATACAATGAATACTACTCAGCTTAACAATGGATGAAATACTGCCATTAGTAACAACATGGACAGATCCTGAGAGCATCATGTTAAATGCAATGTTTGAAAAGGACAAGAACCATATGATTTCATTCATATATGGTGGTATATTAAAAAAAAGAAAGCAACAAATAATAAAACTCATCGACAGACAACAGTATGGTGGTTACCAGAGGGTAAGGGAGGAGGGAGAATTTTGAAGAAGGTAAAGGGGGTCAAATATATGGAGATGAAAGGAGGCTGGACTTCGGGTTGTGAACACAATGTAACATGCAGATGATGTATTACAGAATTGTGTACTTGAATATTATATAAAGTTATTAACCACTGTCACCCCAATAAAGTTAATTTAAAAAAAATAGTGAACAGTATGAGTAAGGAAGGCCCCCTCCATCTTTCAATATGTATACTGAAAAAAAATGTGAATTAACAATAAAAATATAGGAAGTACTACGAAAGAAAGAACATGACATGTTCTTTCTCCTACAAAGAAAATATCCTAAGAAGACCCCTGCTAGAAGTTAGATTGAACTGTGGCATGAAAAATAAGAAACCATTTGATGAGCCAAGGAAAAGGGCTCGTAACAGAAAGAATGTCAAGTACAAAAACCGTGAGATGATCAAGTGCTTGAGGTGTCAAAAGACAGAGATGGGAGACCAGCAAGAGAATAGTAAGCAAGGGGAGAAGTACACAATGAGGGTGGAAAAAAAATAAGAGACTACTATCACACAGTCTGTTTAGAGTCTCATTCTAAGAGTAACTGAAGTCTTTAAAGAGTTTTAAGCAAATGAACACCTGACATTTGATTTAGAGTTGAAAAAACAAAACAAAAAACAACCCTATAACCGCTGAGTAAACAGTAATAAGTATAATTAAAGTCCTATTTTAAAGTCCCATGCACATTATTTTTCTATTTGTAAAAGCATCAGTTTTAAATAGACATGAGACAGGAAAGTTTTACCTTGATCCAGAACCATAAGACTTGGATTCAATTCCATGAAGGCAATCTTGCAAAGAGCTAATAAGAACTTTGCAACGATCATCAGCAGATACTTTGGATTGTTTAATTAAGGAAATTGCAGTTACCAATGTCTCAATAGCACTCCCATAATCACCTGTAAGGGGAAGAGGGCTTCGAGTCAAATGAATATTGTTTTCAAAATACCACCAAACCACCTGCAGTAAAGAGTGATAAAGCAGTTTACAAAAGGAGTGTACTCTAAAATGATCACAGAAGATGTCTTTTTTTTTTTTTTTGGTAAGTGTTTCACCATTTGGAAAAGGCTTTTATGTACATAAAAATAGTACAATTTGTTGTTATTATTATAGCTGTGTAAAGCAGGTTATCATTTTGTAAATATGAAATAAATGAGCTGACCTAAGGCTCCTGAGTAACTAAATGTCAGGGAAAGATTTAAGCCTGCACCTGGAATTTTTAATTAGGTGTTTTTCCATTACACTGTGACATAGCTTTCTTCAATACCTTTTTAAATAAAATACAGGTAATGATTTGGAAATATAACAATAAAAGTTACTACATGTAAATGATCATTCTTAATAACATAAATAAGTAGTATTAATACAGAAACAAATATACAAACCAGCACTGGCATCAGATACAGCTCTTGAAATAGCACTGCTTGAGATTGCCCTATTTCTGTTCATGATTTCTTCAAATTCAGCTTCACTCAATGGTGTTCTTGCTGTATCCATTTCCCTATGAAAACAGAATAAACCTTAAATCATACTCAAAAGATTTTCTAAGTTAGTATTAATAGTATAAAGCAATTCATACTGGCTACTTTTGACAAATGCCTTAAAGCTAATGTTTACTACTTTTCCAGATTGAAGCATGCTTATTTTCTCCTACAAAGAAAGCAAATCTGCCCTAGCTGGTGTGGCTCAGTGGACTGAGTGCTGGCCTGGGAATCAAAAGGTTGCTGGTTTGATTCCCAGTCAGGGCACATACCTGGTTGTGAGCCAGGTCCCCAGTGGGGATAGGCGATAGGCAACCACACATTGATGTTTCTCTCCCTCTATCTCCCTCCCTTGCCCCCTCTCTAGAAATAAATAAATAAAATCTTTAAAACAAAAAGTGTAAGCAAAATTCTCTTACACCACAATCTTATAGCTGAAATGAAGTAGGAGCTTAGAAATCTTGTTTTTCTATAGTTCAAAAACAATATATTTACATATCTACAAAATAGTATTCTTCAGTCATACAATGGGTATAAGAACATTGTTTTTGATGAATACACACATACACAGACACACACAGCTGACCACAAAAAACAGCCTACACAATCAAGAGCAGGAATTTTATTTCATTACATTTGGATCCTCTAGGCAGAAAGCCCAACACACAAATGAAAAATTATAAATGTCTGATAAAGAAAATTTCAGGACAGACAAGATCTTGCTTGCCACTGAATTCCTAGAAGAGTATCTGGAAAATAAAAGGTACTCACTAAACATAAATACTTGTTGAAAAGAAAAATAAATAAAATGCCAAGATTTTCTAAAGCTGCTTGACAACTTTAAAAATTGTACATGTGCAGTACAGGTCAAGATACAATTTCTGCCATCTTAGTTACTGGTTACTTGGTAAGACACTAGGTTAAGGACATTGAGTTGAGGTTGTTCATTCCAATGAAATGAACAGCTAATTTCTGCATGCTTTATAAGGTGTTAATTTTATTCCCAAAACTTTATAAACATCCTGATCAAATTATAAGTTGTTCAAAATCCATGTACGATCTCAACTAAATGCTGTGACTTCTGCCCATCGAAAATCAGCACCCTGCATCCCCCAATTAGAAAACCAGTCAATAATACTCCTTCCAATTTCTGAAAACCTGATACGGGATATGACTCAAATTACAAGCTGTTGAACTAGTCATCCAACCCAATTCTATTTACTAAAGGTGAACACTTGACATTTAGTTGATCATGGGAATTGAAGTGAATAAAAGAAAAATCACACTAGCTTAGCAGTTCTAACACTTTCTTTTAAAGAAAACGAAGCATTTTTGACACTCACAAAGATAAAACCTCTATGGAGAGAAAACTGCTAATAGACTTTGTTTACAACATCAGATTTACTGCGGGGTAGAGGGGCTGTGCAACTGTATGGAATTAGGCAGACACTGAAATCCATTCTAGAGGATTATCAGACAAACTGAAACATAAAGTAGTTTAACAGTGATAGTTAAAGAACACAAAATCAAATGATAATCTCAAGAGAAACTGAAGAGACAAACATTTCTTGGAAATTATAAACACAGCTTTCCAAGTTATCACAGTATAGATAATTTTAAATTACTTTGAAAAGGGGCTGAAAGATCACTGAGTTCGACATGGGTTTCCACCCAGCTTTTCTCTAAGGTTCGCCATCATTTTAACTTCCACAAGGTCTGTGTTTTACAAGCCTTTGTCTACCCAAATACCCTTGTAAGTTAGTTAATGCTCCCATTTTAATTAAAAGTTAGTAATGTGCCACTCAGGACTCATAATCAGCAAGATATAATCTATAGTGCAAGAAATAATCGGTAGTACTTATCAAATAAACCAACCTAATTCCTAAAACAATAAACTTTACTATTCTATGTAGTGCCATCAATTAGTAAACAAGACTCAAACTTTAAAATCTTAAAAATAGAATTCCATATGCCTGCCTACTTTTTTTTAGACATGATGACCTTTAAACTTCATTTTTTAGATAATAATTTTAAAAATAATAAATTACCCTTTTAAACCTTTTTTAACCTAAAAAATGAAGAAAATGAATCCCAGGATTTAGTGACTTGCCCTAAATCACATGGCTATATATGTGGCAGAGCTGGATTATTCCCAACTCTGTTCTATATGTTTTTCATCATATCATACTGCCCGGTCTATTAAGAGAACAGAAAACTAAATACCTGGAGAAAAAGGCTGTAATTTTTTTTTTTAAAAAACCTCAGTGATGGAGCCTAGATTATCTTTTACCAAATATACAAAATCTACATTCGAAAATACATACTAACTTACCTTCCAGGAGGCCCATAATCACCCCTATCATATGGCGGAGGTCGGCCATAAGGATCTGTTGGGGGTGGACCCCGGCTATCTGATGTAGGCATGCCGCTGTTAGTTGGTGGAGGAAAGAAAGCCGGGTTCACATGTGGAGCTGGTGGTGGGGCACCTGGAGGTGGTCCAGGAAGATGCGGAGGAGGAGCAAGTGTAAGGGGTGGCCCAAGAGGACCAGGTGGGCGAGGTGGAAAAGGGCCTGGAGGTGGTGGTGGTCCCTGTTGCGGAGGTGGTGGACCAGGAGGGGGGCCGTAGCCTGGAACTGGAGGTGGAGGACCAGGAGGAAGCGGACCCAATGGAGGCTGCCCAAAAGGTTGTCCAGGAAAAAGAACTGGTGGTGGAGGGCGATCTCCTCGATTAGGAGGCCCAGCTAAAGGAGGAGGCAGAACCTGACCAGGAGGTGGAGGACCTGGTGGACCAGGTGGGCCTGGAGGGCCTAGGGGTGGACGTGGTGGAGTCTGTCCAGCTACAGAATAAAGTGGAGAGAGGGAGAGGGGGAGGGGGAGGGGAGGGGAGAGAGAGAAAGAAACACTTCAATAAGGTATTTTAACTTTTATGCCAAGGTTATACTTTAAAGCATTAACTCACAGACCAAGATGCTTTCTCTTTAAATAAAACCCATGTGGTAAATGCTACACTAACAATTACAAAGGTGAAGTATATCCTTACAAATTTAACTTCTCAGTTTATGCTTAAGAAAAATTACTGAAACAAAAACTTTACGAAAGACAATAATGCTTAGAGATAGTTTCCTTCTTTCAGCATACACACATTTCTTACGGTGAAATCACCCACCTTATAGTCTACTCTGATGCCAAGCTAGAAAGTGAAACAAGGAAAAATGGTCTTGAAAGAATTTTTTAAGAGGTAAGAAAATAAGACGGATGTAAATATTCTATATATAAGTCAAGCAAGTTTGGAGAAAAATAAAGACCTTTTAGGCCAAAAATGGGTATTTCCTCTATGCTGTGCCCCATATGCCATGGAATCCTAGTTTCCAGGAACAAAGGCCGAGTTCCTTTAACAAGATGCTTGATCAAATTTCCTGGATTCCAAAAATAGCATAACAAGGAGAGTAAGACACATTAATAATGCATTACTTGAAAAGAGAGAAAAGGAAAGAGGTATTAGATAGACACATTTTATCCATGGTAATTTAAGAAAATTTTTACCTGGAAAAGGTGGGGGTGGCCCTCCTGGTCCTGCTGGCCCAGGAAATCTGTCCCCACCGGGAACAGCCCCTGGAAAACGGCCCCGTCCTCTACCACCTTGTGGAAATGTTGCACGTGAACTGCCTCCCGGAGGACCAGCTTTACCTTCCCCAGACATTTGTCCTGATTGTGTAGCTGCAAATATCCAAATACTCATAAATAGCATTTATTAAAACAGTTCTGAAATGTAACCACTGTTATTAGAAAGAACCATATTTCAAAGTTCATTTATACTATACACTAACTTGCAGATGCCTTGGGCCTATCCAAACTACTTCAGAAGTATTGGTTAGGAAAACATTCACATCTGTTTAAGTTCTTTTGAAGTCTCAAATATCCAGGCATAGATGTACTTCCAATGAATGAGTTACTTTCAAAATACAGTACCCTGCAGCAGCCAAGACCAAAATTCTCCAACAGAAATCTGAATTTCATTAAACATAAATCATTTAAATTTTGCAACATATTCTTCAGTTAAGCCTTAAGTGCCACTTGAATTTCTGTTAATTACATGATCATTCATCTTATCTCTTTAAGTGATAACATCTGTAAGTGGGTAATGGCAAATCTTTTCTATATTCACTTTACCAAGTGGTGAAAGGTCTTGGTATCAAGCAGAAATCAACGAATATTTTCTGGTTATCAGTGGGTTCTCCACCACCGTAACACACATCCACATTAAGTTGGCTTCAATCTAAGGATTAGAGTGTAGTTTCTTCCTTTCTCTAGGATGGGAATGACAGGACAAGCATGGCAGGGCTACAGAACTTGCACACTGTTGAATAGTATTGGGTTTGTGACACCTAGAGAAAAATGGGAGTAGGTTTCCAGTACACAGGACCACAGTCATAACCAGTAATCAAATCAAATTGAAAGCATGGACTTTCAAAAATGGGTTCTCCAACAAACTATACATTAAGATGACTTTTCTAGTAAAATATCTAAGAAATGCTAGCAATCTTGATTAAAATACACCTCTTTCAATAAAAGCCTCAGAGGAATTGCTTACTTTTCCTGGACTGCATTTCGAATTGACTCAGGAACTGTTTATTGCATGGAGTTACAACAGGATTCTGACCATGAAGTTCTCTTTTAGGCAACAAATCCATTAACTTTTTTGAGGACGCTTCAGATCCAACACCAACAAGAGCAAACCTAAAAGATGTTTAAAGGGGTGAGGTAGAAAATGAAGAGGGATTAATAATGTTACTATTATTAAAAAGGAAATAGCCTGAATTTAATTTTATCTAAAATACTTCTTAAACTAAAGCTGTATAAGTTCACACTTTCATCTTCAACTTTTTAAATAATGTACAATTCACTCATTTAAAGGGTACAATTTAGTGGTTTAGTACAGTTTCACAACCATCACTACAATCAATTTTAGGATATTTTAACAAACCCCAAACCCATTTAGCCATTATTCCATCTCCTCCCATCCCCTAACCCTAAGCAACCACTCATCCACTTTCTAAATATGGATTTGCCTATTTTAGCCATTTCATATGAACAGCACCATACAATATGCAGTCCTTTGTGACTGGCTTTTCACTTAGTGTAATGTTTTCAAGGCTTATTCATGTTCATGTATCTGTACTTAATTCCATTTTATAGCAGAATTATATTCAATTTTATGGATATAACACATCTTAAAAATCCATTCATTGATGGATATGAGTTGTTTCCACTTTCTGGTTATGAATAATGCCTCTATGAAAAGATGCTCAACATCATTAACTATCAGGGAAATGTCAATCGAAACCAGAAGGAGATACCATTTCACATCCAGTAAGATAGCTGTAATCAAAAAGATAATTAACAAGTGTTAGAGAGGATGAGGAGAAACTGGAACCCTCATACACTGCTGACAGGGATGTACTATGGCATAGTCACTTTGACGATCTGGCAATTCCTCAAAAAGTTAAATATAGAGTTAACACATAATCCAGTAATTCCACTCCTGTGTGTGTATATACATGTCCAACAAAACTGAAAACATATATTAATACAAAGCTAATAAATGAATGTTCATGGGGCATTATTCATAATAGCAAAAGCTGAAACACCCCAATGTCCATCAAATATGGGTAAAATTTCTAAAAAAGGAAGTATATTCATATAATGGAGTATGTGGCCATAAAAATAATTAAGTACTGATACATGCTATAACATGGACAAACCTTGAAAACATGCCAAGTGAAAGAAGAGACCATTTATTTTATGATTCCATTTATATGGAATGTTCAGTTAAGCAAATCCAGAGAAACAAACTGCTAATGGGTATGAGATTTCTTTTGGAGGTGACGAAATCTTCTGGAATGAGATAGTGGCAATGCTTGAACAACTGTAAATATGCTTGAATACTTTAAAAGGATGAATTTTATGGTATGTGAATTTTATCACAAGAAAAGTGCATTTAAAACAAAAAATGATTACCAATTTTGCACAGCTATAGAACATTCTAGATTATTATCAGAAGGGCTATTAGGAGTTTAGACCCTTTTCTCCCTAATGTTCAAAATGGTCATTAACTAGAGGCCTTATGCTGGTCAAAAAAAAAAAAAAAATTCTGCTGTTTTGAGTCCAGATTAAATTTTTTAAAAATTTAATGAATTCATTAGTTTAACAAGTATTTATTGAGCAACGCAACACCTTCTACATGCCAGGCAACATTCTAGGGCTAAGGATACAGTAGTGAACAAAACAAAATCCCTACTTTTGTGCAGCTTATAATGTAACGGGAGACAGGGCAATAAATATACACTAAAAACAGGAAAAAAGAAAAAAAAAAAACACAGTGAGGGGAACAGAAGGTGCCATTTTGCACAAGACTGTCAGGGAGGGAACTTGTAAACATAGTCCTGAACAAAGTGAGGTCCATGTGCATATTTGGGGGAAAAGTAAACTAAAGAGGAAACACCTACTGTAAAGGTCCTAAGAATGAATGTGTTTGAAGAACAGCAAAGAGAAACAGCATAAGGAAGCAAAAAGTGGTAGGAAGGAGATAATGTCAGAGTGGTAGTAGGGAAACATATCACATAATGCCACCAGTAAAGATTCTGGCTTTTACTCTGAATGAGATAGGAAGTCATCAGAAGATTCTGAGTAGACAAATATTGATGTCACTTTTTCCCAACTTTTGTGTGTAGTATATAAACTGTAGGTTAGGCTGAAAGCAGGAACACCAAGTAGGAGTTACTGCAAATGCTCAGGAGATAGTTTTATATAAAATAATGCCTGCTATAACATACTTATAATAGGCAAAACTGGAAACAACCCAAATAAAAATAAGAATGGTTAAAATAAATTACAGTAGCAGCATACCAAGTGGAAAGAATTAAACATTAGAGAGAATTTATTATTGATAAATACTTGCTTTACTCCTTGCATCCAACATGTTATAAAACATGAATTGTAATCCTGGGGTCTTTTTGCAATAAAAATATGAAGAAGCATGATGTAAAAATCTAAAAGTAAATTCACTAAAATGTTAAGAGTGATCATCTATGAATGGTGAGATTATGGCTTTTAAATTTTTTTTACTTTTGGATATCTACGTTTTATAATGTTCCTATAATGACCCTACCTCATTTGTATAGTTTAGAAAAATAAACAGTTTAGAAAAATAAAGGGAAACTTCCATGTTACATTATTCTCCAGCTGCCCATCTTCCCCTTCTCTTTAATCACAAGAATATCACTTCTTCAAACTGTCATCTCAACAATCATTTCAACCATAGGTGGAGGAAACGGAGGAAAATTAAAGAATAGACATAATCTGTCCACACTTCCAGCTCCACTAGTTTTAGTGAGCTGGATTACAGGGCGAATGAATTGAGTACAATTCTTTGCCCAAGAACCTCCTGCCAATGTGAATAATAATGTATCCTACACACATTTATAGTTAGCATTAGCTTTAAGGAAACTTACCCAAAAAATTGTAACACCAGATACTAATTTATATTAGGGGGAAAAAAACAACACTTACCCCTTTGATTGGCCATTTGCCCGATTTTCAAAAAATTTTATCTCCAAAATATCATTTACTCCCAAAGAATGAACTGCTTCAGTTAAATCTTCATCTGTTGTCCACTGTAAGACATTTCCCCCTCATTAAGCATCAAAATATATCCAAGGTTTTTTATTGTTTCAATTTAGTTTTTAAGAGTAAATTCAGAATAAACAAGAGAAATTAATGCTCAGTTCAACTAAGTGCAGTTGCTGAAAGTCAGTCTCCAATTTTAAAATAGCACATAAGTACATATCTGAGGACAAAACTTCATTCCATGATAATTTTCAGAAATTAGAAGATACAAACCCCTGGAGACAGAATATATAGATGTTTTTATACTCAATAAGTTTCTGGTCTCTTCCAACTTTAACCTGCAAAGATTTTAATTTTCAATAAAACCAACCTCACTTGTCACTTCCTCCCCTTAAAGGCAATTTTTTTTTAGTACATAAATTCCATTAAAAAAAAAAAAGATGAAAATAAACAAACATGTAGTGAGTACCTATCATGTATTTTATATCAAATATTTAACTCTTAAAACAATCTTACAAATCCTGTTAATCCCATTTCATATTTGCAATAGAAAGGTTAAAGAACTTGTCCAGCATCACACACTAGTTAATAGAAGAGCTAAGATGAAAAGTCTTACTTAGCAGCCATTCTATACTGCTACTGTCTCTAATATTATAAAATTGTCAGACTGGGTGGTAGGAGATCAGTCAGTTAGTTTTTAAAAAATGTAAACATTTAAAAATAAAATGCTATTAAGAAAGTGGAAGAGGGACAAGTTTTTAATTTTTATTGAATTTATTGGGGTAACATTGGTTATTGAAGTTATATAGGTTTCAAGTGTATAATTTTATAATACATCATCTGTATATTGCAGCGGATTTCAACTTTTTTCACTTCATGATACACATAAACTAATTACTAAAATTTTGTGGCACACCAAAAAATATTTTTGCTGATCTGACAAAAGTAGGTATAATGCTGATTCATTCACATGAGAGGGCTATTGTTATATTGGCTGTTGTCATTTTTTTACTTGAAAATCTACGGAAAAAGAGGTCAGTGCCCCTGACTAAAGTCAAGTATTTCATGTTTTCATTCTTAAGGGACTTCAGTAGAAAATAGCTGGTATAGGCCCTTGCCAGGTAGCTCAGTTACAGCATATCCAGATACACCAAAGCTGCAGGTTCAATCCCCACTCTGCGTACATATTACAAGAATCAACCAATGAATACATAAATAAGTGGAACAACAAAATCAATGTTTCTCCCTTTCCCCTACTCTCAAATCAACTCTTTAAAAATCGCTTGTATATTGTATTTTGTGTTCACCACCCAAAGTCAAGTCTCCTTCTTAGGAAGGATAAGTTTTGATTTCTAGACAATTTTTAAACTTTCCAGTATATATAATACATGTTTCTAAGTAAAGATGTAAAAATTCTATAGGACTGCATTAATGAGTATTTAAAATTTAATGCTTATAAAATTATCAACAGTTCCATTACACATCCAGTTAATGAAACTCACAACCACTAATCATGCGGTCTCATAAATTCAAATTAAAATAATGTATACAGCAGTTTTTCTATAAATCAGATTTCAAATTTAAGAGCAGAAATTAAATTCAACAGGTCTGTAATATGAATTGTGTCTCTTTCTCTCCTTCAGTTCTGAATCCTGCTTTGAGACCTTATATGAGCTTTTTTTTTCTTTGTAAAATTGAGAGAGGTGAAGTATAGAAGTGGGAGAAAAGAACAACTGACTTGAAGACAAAATAGGTGAACTGCATTTAATTGGAATCTACCAAAATAAGTTGAATGACTACAAAATTCAAAACTAGAATATCTGGAATTTAGGCTTTAAAGATTTTTTTTTCCCCCACTGCTCTCCTCATTGCATAAGCATGTAGAACAAAAAATTCACTAATTTCACATGCTTATTTTATAAAACCCAAGAGAAACATTAAACTATTGGAGTAGTTCAAAATCAATTACCAATAATATAATTCATATGGTAAGTTTACTTACCCATGTTAGATTTCCAATGTACAATGCAATCCTTTTTCCAGTATATGTATAGACAACATTTGGTGCTGCTCCTTTACCCACATCATCACCAACAGTTGGTGGGAGAGTATCCATGTAATCCCGATCTTCTGGGGCATCTCCATTATTTGCAGATGGAGAGATGACGTCGTCATACAAATCTATCTGATCATGCCCACCATATTCAGCTTCCTGAAATACAGAAATAATACTCTAAATTATATGATAGACTACTACACTAAATAGATTTGAATACAAATTCACTCAACTATTTATTTTTTAAAAATTCACTATTTGTTTTAGACATCTGGCAGAAGATCAAAAAAGGCCCAAAGATATCAGCAAGAACCTTCTCTCACTTTATGCCACACCATGTATTTTTGTACAGTGCCTATAAAGTAAATGCCTACATAATAAATCCAATTTTCTATTTGTTATAACACAGAAAATAATGTTCCTCTGGGAAAAGAATGACACAGAGACAAAATAAAGTAATAATGTAAAACTCTTCTTGAAAGTTAAATATTCTTAAAGTGAAAAACAACACACGAATACAAAGAGCTTTTAAAAAACTGACACAAAAATACAAACAAAATTAAGAACTACTGCAAATCTTTAACTGCAGAAAGAAACAACTATTATTTTCTGTGATATTGAGGATCTTGTTTCCCAGAACTGTGAAATCTTTTTAGTTTTAGGAAAAAAGCATAGTGAGTGAGCTATGCTTAGGGAAGGAATGATGAAATGATAAAACATGGATATGTAAATGATTCCCAATGTCATAACAAATTAACAAGGGAAAAAGAAACAATAAATAGTGTCTAGCAGCAGTTTTATTTTTCTCAGTCAACAAAGAGTTAATGCTTACCTAACTTCTTAGATATCTAGTCAATTAACAAGAGAAAAAGGACAAGAAAAAGGATACAGTTATGCTTTGGCACTGTCACCAGCAGAATTAAGGCAACCCTAGCGGGATGCCACTTACATGCCTAAATAAGCAAGGGAGAGAAAAACAAGAAAGGAAAAAGATATATAAAGAAGTGAAAAATGAAAAAGGAGTGTTCTATTTGTAAATAAGCCGCTCAAAATGAAATGCAGGTATTGCAGAACACTCAACACTACTTAAAGTTGCCTTTGGTAATCATTACTGGACCATAGGCTTAACTCCCTGTATCAGAGAAAAATCTATTTTCATCTTTCTCCCTTTCCACTACTAAGTACACAAAACTATTTTATTCCTATGATGTAGAATGTAGGGTGGGACAAATGTAGGTTTACAGTTTCTTGTATGGAAAATAATAAATAAATAAAAACACAAGAATAAACTCACTCAAAAGTGTACACCTATTTTGCCCCACCCTGTAATTGAGACAAGAAAAAGAGACAATCACAGTTACAAAGCAACAAACTTAAGAGTTCAGACACAACTCATATCCTCACCCATCAATACAATTTATTTCTATTAAAGAGGAATTGTTATATCAATGGTGCATTAAGAGGAGCCAATAGTTTTAGGGACTATTACATGGACAGAGAATGACTTAGAGACAGCATTTGTAATATGACTGTAAACAGATGAACAAAATACTGTTATTGTAGCCCCACTGGAACATAGTGTTATTTAGAATGAAGCCAGAGTAAAACTTTTTTTAAAAAAGAAAAGAAAACCTAGGAGAAAGACCATTTATACATATAGCCAAAGGGACCTGAAATTTGTAAAGTCATCTTCAGGCACTCTTCTGCATAACAGAGTCAACCAATTTATTAATTATACAACAGAATTTTTACATAACAATTTTGTTATGAGATAGAGAGCAAGGCATTTAATGAGGGACCCAAAATTTCAGGTTAAGCTAGGGAGCAAGGCCATTTTTAGCAATGGGCAGAAATTAAGACCACAAGTCACTAATGCCATAATTTAATTTTGTTTGTACAGCAATACCAAAATAATCTTTCAGAACTGAGTTTTTGTTAAACAAAGCAACATGCTCAAACTGCAGTGATAGTAAAAATTAGAAAAAAAGGAGGTTAGTTTTGTTAGGAAGTTTCAATGTAGGTGAAGCTTCAGGTGACATGGTTGCAGCAGTGGTTTCACACACTTGAAATACTAAAATGCCTCCCACAAGGGGTAGTGAGCTCTTTAAAACTCTTTTGGGATCCAGCTCTGCCCCTCAAAAAGAATCATTCCTATTATTATACAAAGGGAGCTGCATTTCCTCAGCAGACTATACATACAGTCTCAGCAGAGATCACAATATACTGTCTGAGAGTTAAAAACAACAACAACAAAAAAACAAAAAATGCAAGGGTTATTAACAGTAGGACTAAAATCAAAGTACTTAAATTTATTCTTTCACCAAACATGTTAACATATTATTTGATCTTTCAATGGTTTTAAATCTAGGGAAATGTTTACATAAGTAGAAAATAACTTAGAAGCGTAACTGCAGCTACACTAACCTGGTCAATCACAATCAATATTTTTCTCCATCCATGAATTCCTATGTTGACACCAGCCAATTTTCCATATTGATATGATTCTACCAATATTAATGATCAGCCAATTTGGCAGTTAGACTGCTACCAGTTGGCTGAAGTATGATGCCAATTGAGACCACGGTCCTGGGGTTTGATCTCCATGGGGACTAGTTAGCTTGGCTCTGTTCCAAGGCCACAGCCTGTACTTCTAGCCTAATAGTTAGACATTTGGATGTGGTGAAAAAAAAATTTAATGACTCTAAATACATCTATTGCCACTGCTAAAAATTCAACTCAAAGCATATACTCTTTTGTATTATCAGTAATCTTCTTTTTCAGTTTCGGCATATCACACCTATCCTCCATATTAAAAAAAAGAAATACAGAACATATCCTTTTTGTTCTTACTTTAAAAAGAGGGGAAACATGTATATTCTATGCAAAATGTACATCATATATAAAGAGTTCTGAAAGTGTACTGAACAAACAAAAAATGGCTTCTACTTTGTCAAAGAGAAATGGTTAACAATGTCAGGTTCTACTACATAAGGTATTTACAATTACTATCTTTAGGAAATTGTAACGGCATTTGAAAGCAAGAAAACATCAACATAACCCCTCTAAATATTTTAGATACCACATGTTGCCCAATCTTAACTATCTACTTTTCATAGTAGATACTTACCAATAGAGCTGCACATTATATATAACTTCCAATTATTAACGGCTATTAGGGTTTGTTTAAAAAAAAAACCCCTAATGTTTTTTCATTCTGTACATTCTAAATCACTACAGTCATTCTAAAGGCTATGTATCCTCTAAAGATTTTGCACTTCGAGATATACATCATATACAAGTAGCTGTTGCCAAGTCAAAGAAAAACACTTAAAAATAACATGGATAATAAAGCAATCAAAATTCTGTTAGTTCCTTTTTAAAGCAATGTTTCTCAACCATTTTTTCATTATCACCATCCCCCTCCTCCCAAAAAGTTGTTTTTAGACATATTTTCCCTAATCACCTTCCATAAAACTTCAATATCACAGATATATACTGTATATACTGAATACCATTATTGGAATGACTATGGTATACCTGTACTATATACTTTATTCTTCCTGACAGGTCCAACACTGCTTTTGGTCCTAAAATTGTAGTAATATCATTCTTGCATTATATGATACTACCAGTACTTATTTCAAAATCCCACTACTGGAGGGGAAAAAGAAATCCAAGTAATTTAATAGTAATTTCCATTTAGAGAAACAGAAGCAAGGGAAAGTTACATTTTGCATTTACAAATGTATTCTGTATCAAGAAAGAAAAATATTACCACACACGATCCAGTATCAGATAACACAATCGAATACCTATTTTTTTTTTTAAAGAATATATTCATTTTTTTTTGCCCTGACCAGGTAGCTCAGTTGGTTAGAGCACCATCACAATATGCCATAGTTACAGGTTTGCTCTCTGGTCAGGGCACATACAAGAAGCAATCAATGAATGCATAAGTAAATGGAATAAATCGATGTTTCTGTTTCTCTCTCTCTCAAAAATCAATAAATAAAAATCTAATAAAGAAAATACGTCATTTTCTGATTTTGTCTAATTATATTGAGTAGATACTAAAATTAGTTTGTAATCCCTGTAAAAAGCTCAACTGATAGTAAGGAAGCCAACTTCTTTCTAAAAGCATGCCACATAAACCACAAAGGAGACAATTTATAGGCAGCTGAATGGATCATACTCATAAACAACAGAAGTGAGCCCTGGCCAGTGTGACTCGGTTGGGCATCATCCCACAAAGCAAGAGGTCGTTGGTTCAATTCCCAATCAGGACACATGCCTTTGTTGTGGGTCTGGTTACAGAGGCAACCAACTGATCGATGTTTCTCTGTATCATCAATGCTTCTCTCCCTCCTTTCCCCACTCTCAAAATAAATAAAATTTTAAAAAAAAGAATAATAGAGTGAGAAGAATTCTATCTCCCCTAAACATTTCTCTCCAAGTTTCTGAATCAGTTTATACCAACTTCATTCTCAGCCTTACATCTGTATCTTAAAGGGTTTTCTATTACATATAAATTTTTCAGAAATAAGGTTTCACTGATATTTGTCTAATAAACTCATTTCCCAATATTGGCTAGACAACTGGCAGGAATGGCTACATAATGATTAAATATAAAGTAGAATGACTCATGAGATAAAGGCAAGCTGACTTATGAGGCTGCCTGGGTTCATAACATCTAAATGAAATTTTTTTTCTGGCCACTAACATAGTTTCATTTTAAAGTTGGGTGGTCAGATTACTAAAGCAGCAGTTATCAGTGACCTACTGTCAAACAAATCAGTAACTAAATTCTACATTCAGAGCTTTTGATCCCCAGCAAGCAAAACACACACCACTTTAATGCATAATCAGCTTTCCTGAGGTTCATAGAATTGTTGACTTTCCCCTTCCCCTTCTCTGCCAACAAAAATCCTACAGGTAAAGATACACACAAAGGAGTGGATTCTGTAATACACAACCTGTCAAGAGTTGTTAAAATTATGTAGGTGCCTCTCACCTGCACTACAGTGCATTCTATCTAAACTTTGCATCCCTCTTTGTTGGCATATAATAGAAACTCAAGATGTTTTGAACAATTGAGTTTTAAAATTGTTATTGAGTTTAATCAGAATAAAAGTCTGTAATTATTAATATTAGGCTAGTAACTCTGTATTTGAGTACAAATCCTAGTTCAAATTAAACTGATACACACTAAAGGCTAAAACAAAACCGCTTTCTTCTCAACTCCAAATTCAACTTAATCCAGAGATCTGATGTGGTTCAAATTCTCCTTCCCCTGGAACAACTGTTCTCAATTTGGTTACATCCAAAGACTTACAATTTAAGAACTAAAGAGTAAGCATAAAGAATAACCCAGTCCCTCGTGCCTTCTTCTCCCCTTCAACTTTATTCTCCGTTCTCAAATTCCAGTAAAGAAAGGAACTCTATTATAGTTTCATTAACTTATTCTTATCCTATCTCCAAATTTAAGTTCTTTCTAAGACAGTTGAATGTCTCACACTTTTTGAAATAAGTGTATATGTGCTTTACCAAAACACACAAACACGCACGCGTGTGCGCCTGCGCTTCATAAAACTATGCCTATTTAAAACAGAAGAGTCCTTGGCTGGGTAGCTCAGTTGGTTAACGCATCATCCCAATAAACCAAAGTTGCAGGTTGGATCCCTATGCCGGGAACATACAACAATCAACCAATGAACACATAACTAAGTGGACAAATAGATTTTTCTTTCTTTTTCTCCCCCCCCAAAACCAATAAATAAAAATTTAAAGGTAAATAAATTAGAAGAAATGGAAAATACATAGACTACAAAGAATTTCAAAACACACAAATTCAATGAAAACTGCAGCTTACATTAAAGAACAAAGATCTTTAAAAATGTTTACAGCAGTTTAGAAGCTAAAATAAGACTGGTCATACTTAGTAAAACATTTTACCCAGCTACAACAAAACGAGTTTACTACAGCAACCAATACAAATAATGACACCAGCTAGAAATATAGTGCAAAGTAAATATATCAGTAATAATTTTGTAGTTGCTTCTAATTGTGATAAAATTTCAGGAAAAAGCGTCAATAATACGAACATTTTAAAAAACAGCATGAGCCCTAGCAGGGTAGCTCAGTTAGTTAAGAGTGTCCTCTCTACACACCAAGGTTACGAGCTGGAGTCCCCTGTCAGGGCATATATAAGAATCAACCAATGAATGGATAACTAAGTGGAGCAACAGAGATGTTTCTCCCCTAACCCCACGTCTTCCCTTCCTCCTTCCCGCTCTCTCTAAAAATCAATAAATCAATAACTAATTAAAAACCAGGATGGCCCTGGCTGGTGTGGCTCAGTGAATTGAATGTTGGCCAGCAAATGAGGGGGTCGCCAGTTTGATTCCCAGTCAGGGCACATGCCTGAGTTGCAGGCGACCCCACCTGGGGTCTCCAGTTGGGGGAGTGCAAGAGGCAACCATACAGATATTTCTCTCCCTCTCCCCCTCCCTTCCCCTCACTCTAATAAATAAATAAGATTTAAAAAATAAATATTAAAAAAAAAAACCCAAGGTTGAACCTTGAAAATCTTTTGTGTCTTCTATTTAATCCCACTAATCTATTATAAAAGTATTAAAAAAAAATCTATTACTAAAACTATACAACTATATGTGAGAGAAAATGCTGTATAGGTACAAGTCAACCAAAGTTACATTTTTAAAAGAACCCTGTAACAGTTCTTCATCAGGGCCACAAAATTTAATCTTTTTACCTCCTGCTCAGTCAGCACTAGCAGTAACAGAGATAAAGAAGTATCATTCCATCCACCTATACAAATTAGAGAAATGCCAATCCAAATTAAGCCTTGGAAAGCCTAAAATATATTTCACAAAGAGGTCCTGAAGAAAGCCCAAGTTCTACAATTGCACCCCAATTCTTAATTTATTGTGTGTAGAAAAGCAAAGCAAATGTATATACTCTTGTAAGAAAAGCTAAGACAGACAGTGTTGAACATTTATTTGTTCCTTTATTTGCAGGTAAGGTCCACTTTTGGATGAAATGTTAAACTGGTTTGATAAAAGGAAAAAAATTCCTGGCGGTCTTTATTGGCCTTAAAAGCATTAGATCTGACTGTGTAGCACTTAAGATAACTTTCTAATTTGACACTGACATACTAAGGCACCATATATTCGAAATACAAGTACGATAAAAAGAATAAAAATTTTAAAACCTAACATTTGGTTACAATGGCTTACATTTAAGCATAGTCCGTCTTTAATGGCGTAGGAAACATTTAAAGCTAACTAAAATTTTTTTCTTTTCTAATCTTGAAACCAGGGTCACAAAGTCATTCCTGAAAAAGAAGATAAGGTTTTCTAGCTTTCCCAATGGAAAAAAAAAAATTAAATAAATCTTAAGCCCCTAGTCACACATAAGATCCTCAATGGGGGGGGGGGGGGGGGCCACAACTGACCAGTAGAATTTTATTAAGTTTTTCATACCGACCTGGAAAATATAAAAAAATAAAGCTTTTTGATGCACTGCAGTTTTAGGCACAATGTGATTTTTAAAAACGTGTTACTACATAAAAGGCAGTAAAGACGTGAACAGCAGGCTTAGAGCTTAAACGGCACGACTCTAGTTAACAAATGAGATCTTTGCAAGGATGCCCAACAAAGCTCGGTGGCTCGTCGTAGGCCAACAGTGGCCTATAATATGCCGGGGAAACCTTGCACTCTCACTTTCTCCAACCTTCCAAAACATAAAGCAGATCCCTCGGAAGACATTTAGCATTTAAAATCAAGCCATATCTACAACCCTTTATTTTTAAACGGTATAAGAATTTCGGGCGAACATTCTTTATTTTAATCACTCCTCTGATCTCTCGTGAGCTACCATCTTTTTTTTGTTCCATTCAACCACTCCGCTTCCAAGTCTTCCTTTTGGCCCAGACCACCTATCGTCCCATGTATTTTCATCAAAAAGGCCAAGAATGACTGGGCCTCAAAGGCACCGCAAGCCCTCGACCACCGAGGGACGGCCAGGGCACCGACTTTTAACAAGAGCGATCGGCCCAAAAGTCAAAGGACTTGTTGCAAACGCGCCCACATCTATGCCGCCGTAAGAAACTGTGAGGAAAGGAGAAGGAAGGCGCCACGCCGAAGCCTGTCGCACACACTGAGACAGCCCAGGAAACCAGGCGCGCGGGTTACAAAAGGCAAGTGAATGCGGCCTTCCATGAGGCGACCGTGCGCGGACAGAAAGACAAAATGGAGCGTGGAGAGAAATCGGAGCCCGAGCGGCCCGGCAGGGGAAGAGGCGGCGGACAGCGCGCGCCTCGCCGGGCTTCCTCCTCAACCCGTGGCAGAGGACGGCGAGCGGCGGCGGCCCGCTCTTTCCGCCGCACACATGCGGCTCCACGGCCCGGGCCTTGCCCGGCGGGAAGTGCCCGTCGGCCGCCGCCAACAATGGGGAGCGAGGCGGCAGCGAGGGAGGAGCCAGCGGCGGCGGTACTGCGGCCAGCGGCGTCAACACTGCGGCCCGCGTCCGCGCTCACGGCCCCGCATCAGGCCGCACAGACCGCGGCCCCCGAAACGACGCGGTAGAACGACAAGCAGGGGGGTGGGGAGGAGCGGCGCGCAGGGGTCTGGGGGCACGGCCCACGGACCGCAAAGGCGCACGGTCTGCAGCCGCTCCGGCTCGCAGCCCTCGACGGGCCCAAGTCAGCTTCTGGGCCGCAGAACCACCTGCTTCGGCGGCGTGGGCCCGGGCCCTCACGTACCTGGTTGAACTCTTCGCCCACATCTGCGTAAATGTCTATGTGGTCCACGCCGTCCGCCATCTTCCCTCGGCCTTGTCCACCGCCGCCGCCGCTGCCTCCTGCAGGTCGACCCGCAGCGGCAGCAGCAGCCGATCTAGCGGTGGGGGCGGGGCACGCTGCGTCACTTCCGAGGCACGGAGCGGGGAGGGGGGTGAGGCGGGGGCGGCTGGCGGGGGATGCAGAGTTGGGGGCGGAGGTCGCCCGAGCTGCTGAGGCTCTCGGCGGGCTGAGAGGAAAAGCTACCTGTCTGAGGGCGAGGTCTTAGGCGGTTTCTTTTGTGTGGATGAGTTAGGCCTTAAGAGGCTAGAGGAGAGGGGCGTCCCCGTTCTCAGAAATTATGTTTCCTCGCCGCCCCTGGCGCAGTCAAACGTTTTGTATATTTTTATTTCACAGTTTTTCTTAACATGTCTCACAGCCAGGGCTTCTAGAAAGGCAGGAGTTCCACGTCCCCCAATAAATACAAAGTGTAGCCCAGCATTCTACGAGCGCTTTGAGAGCGACAACAATATATACTTACCCCAGCATCCTCGCTCAGACACCAACAGCGTTTCATTTGTCTTGCAAACGCTAGACAGCCGTTGATGGTTATCTTGAGTTATTTGCATGCTACCTAGATTATCTGCATTCTATTTATGTTTACAGCTCTGCCGCCTGCTCGTGTTCTTTCATCACCACTTACCCCGTTCATTGCCCCTCATTTTTTTCCTCCGTAGATCTGCTGTTGGTTTTCTTTGGAATAGTTCAGATATCTCTAACATGAATGCAGTCATCCTAGAGCCCACCCAACAAGGTGGAGGCATCTTGAGGCGAGGGGCTTCTCTCGTAGAATCATAGAATGCCCCTTCCCGCGGGGATAGGGGGGTGGGGGTGGGGATAACACTGAAAAGGGTGTTATGAGGTCCATACAGCTCAATTTACAGATGAGGGTACTGAAGCCTAATAGAATCGATGGAATTTAACCAGAGTCTTGTGGTTGATAAAGAGCTGTTACCACCAATACTTGATTGAAAGATGTCTCCTAGTTTGAAACTTACTTTTTTCTTTATTTCTTTGCCACCAAATTAAAGTGTGTTTCCTAAGATCCAGACTGGCCAGAAATCATTCATTCAATGATAAATAAGCCAAGCAATATCTTTTCTGGATATGGTGGACAAACCTTTGTTGGAGTCATGAAGACCAATTTGGTGATCTGGAAACAAATTTCTAGTAAGACGTTTTACCAGCTAGGTGAGCTCAGTCAGGTTACTTAATTTTTCTCATGTTCAATCTCAGAATCCTTAAAACCAGGGTAACAATATTCACCTCACCAAGGTGGAAGTTTCATGGTAATCTTAAATGCAGTACGCAAAATACCTTATGCTTTTCTGCTTCTTGAAAATACTATACTGATTTCCCATGGGGCTTTATAGAAGAAGAGTCACTCATGGTAAAGGAGAGTACTGTGGTAGGCACAATGATGGCCCATCACAGATGACTACATCCCAATCCTCAGAACCTGTGAATGGGCTACCTTACAATGCAAAATAGATTTTTCATATATGATTCAGTTAAAGATCATGAGGTAAGGAGATTATCCTTGATTTCCTGGTGGGTTCAAAGCAATCACAAGTGAAAGAAGATGGGAGAGTCACAGAAGGGGATTTGACAAGAGAAGCAGTCTATGTTCTTTCTTTTGGTACACTTAAAACTAATTTCAAGATTCTGACTTCTGTTGTTGCCTTTAAAAAATTAGCCATTAGAGTGGCTCTTTCTTTCTTTCTTTCTTTTTCTTTTGAGAGAGAGAGAGAGAGAGAGAGAGAGAAACACAGGTTTGCAGTTCTAGCTGGTTGACTCCTGTAGGTGCCCCAAAATGGTTCAACCCAAAACCTCACTCATGATGCTCTAACCAACTGAGCAACCCAGCCAGGGCAGTGTGGCTGTTTCTTTGAAGGTCATTGGGGGTTTTTCCATGGCTGCTTTTGAGATTTTTTTTTTTCTCTTAGACTTTGGTTTTCTGCTCTTTCATTATGTATGTTTGGAAGAACCCCCAATAAAGACTCAGCTCAAGATCCCTCGGCAACACTCCCACATCTTTCTTCCTTTCAGGCATGCATCTTTACTTTTCTCTTCTAAACTCTAAGGGTCCCCACAAGACTTGCAACTGCAGGAGCAGCAGGCAGCAGCAGCTCCTCTGGGCCTTACCCCCTGAACTTGTCTCCAAGGCCCCATTTTCTCTGACTTTTCAGGGAGCTAACAGCAGCCCTGCCATGGCTCACTTTTTTCCTCTAACATTTCTAGAGAGCCAAAGCAGAGCACAGCCTGGGCTCTCTCCTGTTGTTTCTTCTATTCTAGACTTTTCAGTGAGCTAAAAGCAGCCCACCTGGGCTCACCTCTTTCACTATGAGTTGCTTCTCAGTGAGTCCTTACAGCCCAGTGTGGCTCACTTCTTTCCTACAACATAAGCTGAAGCAGAGTACTTATACAGGCTCCTTCCACCTAAGCCATGCCTTTGTTTCACTGATCCCTTTAATAAATGCGCTCTCAAAATCACGTAAACTCATCCTGGGAAATCTTTTCCGCATGAAGTCAACAGCCCACACACTATCTGCCAGCCTGAGGCAGACCCATTCCAGGTCATTGGTAATTTCAATGCCTGAAGTTCCATTGGGTCTGTTGTTAGTTTTTTGTTCTAGTTATTTGTCGTGTGTTGTTTATGCTGGTTCTCACTCATGTTGTCTTGTTACCTGACTCTCTGTGTGCTCAAGATAATTGGAAAAATAATGTGAGACTTACAATTTTTTTTTAATAAAGGATTTTCATTTTCTTTTGATAGGATCTTGGAGTACCAACAAACAGGTTCACCCTAATCTAGATGATTGAGAATCTTGGGGGCGATTGGTTTAGTTTTGTTCACCCTTACCTCCCAGGGTGCTGTTGTTCTGAGGACAAGCCCAAAACACGGTTTACTATAGACACCACACTTGACAAGACCTAGACTCCATATTTTGTTCTCCTAGATGTCAAAATTGCAGCCTAACCTCTCAACCATATTGTTTCGATCTGAAAATGCCCCCAAGGGCAGAAACACTCTGAATTTTGTTTTGAGTATTTTTTTAAAGATTTTTATTTATTTTTTAAAGAGAGAGGAAGAGAGGGTGAAAGGGAGGGAGAAAAATATTGATGTGAGAGAGAAGCATCAGTCAGTTGCTCCTTGCCTGCGCCCCGACTGAGAACCGAACCTGCAATCCAGACATGTGCCCTGAGCGGGAATCAAACCAGCAGAATGATATGCAACCAATTGAGCCACACAGGTCAATGCTTGTTTCAGAGATAAAAAAGAAACAGCAGACTCCAAATGGAGTCACTTGTAAGTCTTACCAAGACTGACTACCTAACCTACTTGTCATTTCAGCCTCTTCCTGGAGTGGAGTTTTAAGCCAGTTAGTCAGGAATTTTGTGGTTAACACTAGTGAGGTAAACTGCCTAATAAGATCCTCTTCCTTCCAGTAAGGAAAGGTGACCTTGCCTGAAATAATTCACTCTTTTAACAATTTTGACCCACCCCATTTCTGCCTATAAAAGCCATTTTGTACAGCTCCTTGGAACACCTTTCTACTTACTAGATGAGATACTGCCCAATTCATGAATTGTTCAATAAAGCCAATTAGGTCTTTAAATTTTGCAGTTGAATTTTGGGTTCTTTAACACAGGGTACCTCCTTACTTGGCAATGTTTAAAAGTGAAATATTATAAATTTAAAAGTGCATAATCACAATGACAACAACAACAAGAACTCTACCACTTATTGAATACCTTCTGTATAACAGCCTTTTTGGTAGACATCTTATAGTCATTAATGTACCTAGATGAAAAATTGGAGGCTTAAATTCTTGTCCTGGCTTTACTACTGACTAGCTTAGTAACCTTAGAAAAGTCTTTACCTCAATTCCTCCATGAAGGTTCCTCTCAGTTCTGAAATTCTATTCAAATCTACATAGAGTTGAAAGTCCAAAGCACCTTGGGAGGAATTCAATAATTGTATGTTAACTGTTGCAGAGGAACTTCCTTCTGGCCCACCTACTTTAGTTTTATATTGCTGCTGTAACAAATTACCACAAATTTAGTGTCTTGAAACAACACAAATTTATTATCCTATAGTTTCAGATGTCAAAAGTCCAAAGCAGATCTCAATGAGCTAAAATCAAAGCATTGGTAGGGCTGCATTGCTTTTGGAGGCTCTTGAGGAGAATCTACCTTCTTGCCTTTTCCAGCTTCTAGGAGTTGCTCACATTTTTTGGCTGTGACCTCTACCCCATAATTGCATCACTCCAACAATATAAACAATATAAAATCAAATATTTAGGAAGAGTAGTAAAGGAGTTGGAAAGGAGGTTAATAATGTCCTAAAGTTTTCTGTACATCTATTTCTCTGTATAAAGGAAATATTTCTCCTTTCTGTGCACATAGCTATGCAACGCAGCTATGCTCCAGAGTTTAAATCACCACCTTTCAAGAAAATGTCCATCTATCTTAGTTTAAATGACAAAATCTAAAGAGAAAGCAACTGATTACCTCAGTTTTTATAAAAGTCTACTTGGCCAATCAAGTTTGTCTAAGGCAGCAGGGTCACAGAGTAAACACAGGGCTCATGAATTCTATCCTGAGTTTGGAAAGGCTGGAAAATTGTAAGTGAAAAATTATTACTTTGAGCTAAGCAGACACAGTAAAGGTTGTCTAACATATTTCACCTATCGGATGGCATAGACAAAAGCCTGATGATTCAGGAAAATCCATAATCCCTAAATATTTAACACATGTTGTCATTATAACTTACTCAAAATAAATAAATGTCATAATCACTAAAGGAACGTGACTTTGGTTCTAATGTACTACAGGCCATAGTTTAGCCATTTGGTCCCCAGAATTTTAAAAATTCTCACCTCTATGAGTATAATATTTATAAACATTCAGTCATAATATATAAATGTAAACATTATTAAGGCATTTTATATTAACATTTTAATATCATGAACATACATATCAATATAAAATTTTATAGAATGAAATAAGCAAGATTTTAAAATGTTTTACTCATCATAACCTCATGCCATCAT